CACGCCCGCCTGCCGCCTTCCTCTCAGATCCAAAGGACCAGACTTAGAGTAAGAAGGACAGGGTGAGAAGGGGTAAGACTCTCAGATAGAACGGTACACTCAAACTCGCGTGAGAGGGCCTTCCAGTCTTCAACGCCTGAGGGTCCCGCAATGGCAGCCAAATACAACAGCTTGGTCGACTTGGAGTCGGACTGCCGAGTTCAAATCTCCTACCAAACTCCCAAATCGCAGCGATAACCCCCCCCCTCTTTTTCAGAACTTCATCACCTCCCTAAGCCTGTCCGCCACAGCGCCACAGGCTGCAATGGTTAGAGGTAGTCAAACAGTCGGTGCCAGCAGCATGAGGCCTCCACCCGTCGGTCATGGCTCACAGGCAGCTACAAGCAGCACCAGCACACAGTCGGCCGGAGCAATACAAATACAGTCCGCTGGTACAGCCGCAGCGCAGTGCTTACGCACAACTAGCCGGTACAACCGCAGTTTGATCAAGTCTGGGTCCAACTGCTGAAATGAAGCCCCCCCCCTGACGAAGTCCTAGCCAGCAACAGTAATCTCTCTTCCGAGCCCAATCCTGGTCCCACTGCCGCTGGTAACAGACTCTATACAACGATGGCCAATAGTAATAGTTGTAGCCCGCATCTGGCTCGCAGCAACAGCAGCGGCTCGTACACAATTGATGGCAACTCACAGCAGTAATCTGCGTGCAGCCCGTAACAGACTGTGGCAGCATGCAGCAACCTGCACACAGTCAGTAGCAGCAGTTGCGGCAGCCTGTACTCGCGATGCCCACAGTGATCTACAACAGATTCTGCATGGCCTTGCAACCGCACGGTTGCTCAAGCTACTACCGCTGTCTCCGACGGGGTAGCCACTGCTTGTGCAGCAGGTAGGTCGTTCAAGTTAGGTCAAGGTATGCAATACCCCCCCCCTCTCGCCTCGCTATACCCACCACCGCCACCGGCTTCACGCACCTCGTTTCTCTTCTAGCCCTCGAATCGCTACTCTCCCACCAAAACCAACCACGCCAACGTACCCGCCTACCATCAGAACGCCGGAGTAGCCCTTTCCCCCGCCTAAAACAACCTCGGAACAGGTGAGCTACGAGCCCCGCCCTCCGCCATGGCCACTTCTCCCTTAACCCGCATGCACTCCGCCTTCCTTGTGTTGGCGTCAACAACCACCAGAGCACCGTGACTCCGTCAAACAGAAGGCCGGGCCGACCAAAAACACGTCGGACGAAAAGAAAACAGACAAAGAAAACCTGCTCTGGACTTATACGTGTCGGCCTTGTGCAGGGGTCGCACGAACTTTCCCGCGTATCGTTCCAGTTTTAGCAGATGTCCCGAGGGACTCGGGCACTAGCAGCACCCCGCGACCTCTCGGAATTCATACGGCCGCAGCACTCCCTTGCCTTACTGCACGAACCTAGCCCCCTCTCTGGGGCTTGTACGAGTTGAGCGTGCACAGGGATTATACGGATCTCCCCTGTATTGCTCAAGATCTCACTGGCGCTGTAAAATCTACCTCCGCGCCTTGCCAGCTCTTCAATTCATCCCACCTATTTCCCCCGCCGCAAGTATCCGGCCCCCCTTTCGCGACCGATTCAGGCAGGCGTGGCCCCCCCTCCCCTTTTTCGGCACGTATCCGGTTCGCCCTCGTGTCCGAGCTCAGTCATCGGTCTCACCCACAGTCTCCCCTATGTTGGTCCAACTTTAGCAGACGTCCCGAGGGACCTAGGCCGAGGTGTCGCCCTCGACTTTTCAAAATTTGGGCAGCCACAGTGCCACATTTTCTTAATGCATGAATTCGTCCCACACTCTAGGTTTTATGCGTGCCGACCTCGAACAGGGCCACGCAGATCTTTTCTTCGTATCGTCCCAATTTTTGCGGATGTCCTAAAGGACCCCCGACCGTGGCCGCCCTCCCTCCCTATGCTTACGAGGGCCACTCGGCCTCCCTCCGCAAGCACCTAGCCCTTGTCGTCGTCCGGGTTCATCCCCGACCCCTCTCCTGTCACCCCGCTCAGTGGTCGGGCGGGTCTCTCCAATATTGCCTAAGATTCTCCAAATGTCCCGAAGGACACCGCCAAGGCCGCGGAGGCAATCGGCCCCCGGCAATTTGGACTGCTCAGCTTTTACCCACCGAGCGCTGTCATCTAGGTCCGACGCCGACTTACGCTTCACTAGGCCAAGGGTGTATCCCCCCCCCCTGACGACTTCGCGTCCACATACGGGTGTGAAAACAGTAGTAGTAACAAAAATTCGAAATAACTAAATTAAAAATTTGAAATAAATAAGTTATACATAGATAGATATATACCTACAAACGTGCAATAGTCGGGTGGAAATCATAGCCCCCATTTGCAAAAGGCGAGGGGGATAGTCCTGCAGGCCCATCAACCCCTCAAGCCTTTCCGCCGCGCTCCTCCGCTCCTTTACTGCCTGCTGGTGACCTCGATCCCTGCGTCCGCTGCATACGAGTCCGATGCTGTAACCAATAGGGCTAAGCCCAGGCCTGTGACCAGCAGGCGCGGTTTTCGATATGACGTGGTACCGCACAGCGTTTCCGGGCCAGGATACCGCCCCAGGCCATTCTTGCAACCCACATTTACACCCACGGCCCCCAGGTGCCCGCGCCGGCCTACCATCCTGCGGCGTGACCATCCCGCGCGCCGGCCTGCGTGCCACCACCGGCCGCACGTGCCAATCAAAACGAGCTTTCACCCCCTAACCAAATTCGTCACCCGGTCCGGGTCGGTCGGCTACCCTGGCCGCCCACTCAATCAGAGAAATCACACGCGCGCCTTAAAATTGCGCGCCCACGTACTCGCTACTGAGACAAGACAGACCTTTGCCCACGTGCGGGCGACCCTCGCACTTTTCCGCACGGGCACTCAAAATCCAGGTTAACCGAGCCTTTCTGTCACTTGCAAAACCTAGGGCGGATACCCTTGTAAGGGTATTTGCGCCGACAACTTACCGGACCATATTAAGCGACGTCCCCGTCGCCTCGCCAAATCAAAAGTTATAGATTCCTTCACATTCCAAGTGCTGACGAGATGAGAACCAATCCAATTAGCCGACAGACTCAGGGTTGAGGCCTCCATCAAACCGTGCCAACACAAATATATGTTGCCAGGGTTTCAACCTGGGTCCCCATTGTCCTGACGCCAGAACGCCGGTGTATTACGCATCAATACTACAGCATAAGTTCCAAAGGCCCTCAAACCATCCTCTTCCCCTTTCGTCCTAGACAACCGTCGGCCTCTCGTTGGGTGTCCCAGTTAGCCTCTTTCTCGTAAGCAGAGCCATAACTAGGGACGCGGGCTTCGAATGGGACCTATGAAGGCATTCTTTGCCTTCTTCCAGCAAATTCCTCACAATCAAACAAAATACACACGTATAAGTTTGTAGCCTCTCTCGCCCTTCTGCAGTCTAGTACAGAAATGCCAGATCCCCATCTGGGTCCACCGTAGTCTGGCTGATCGGGCCAGGTCTGCGGCCCACCGCGTTGTTACCTTAGCGGCGGTATCCTCCCGTTGGTTATACAACGATAGGCGTTTTTCCTGATAATCATTCAATCAGGACTTTCCAAAAGACTCAACTCCTATCCCGCGGAGTAATTTCTCTGGGGCGGGCAACTCCCCTTAAACTCTTACCTCGCGGGCCCGCAGCCAGGTTGTGCCGGCTTGCAGCCATCCTCTAGGGGTTGCGTCCAGGTGGCACTAAACTTTACCGTTAGCTTGGTATTCCTTTAAATATGTCTCAGAATTAGCACAGGTGGCCCGGCGGGGCATCACAAACAATTCACAGGCCGCTGCGGGACTACGCAGGGGTCTGAAGGCATTTACCGGCCCTCCTATAATACGCGCGGCATCCTTCACTCAATCACAAACAGTCTCCCCGTCGGATCCGCCGCGGCTCCTGACTTGATCAGAGCCAGCAGTCGCCCATCCTGAGGCACCTCTCGCCCTTTTCAAACATTTCAAGCAAACATGGTTCCCTCTCATCAGACTTTATCAACACGACCAATGCTTTCCATACTAGTCAATTTTTACCCACCCTAACTTAGTAAAGGGTGCCTCTCACAAAAGATCTCGCAGTCACCCCCTCTTTGTTTGGGATGACCTTTTGCGCGGCCTCTTCCAAAACCATGAAGGGGTCCCAACAATAACACAATTCCCACCCTCCAGAACCATGACGGGGGTTAATCACCAAACAACTCAAACCGAGGGACCATTTTTTGGGTCCTTGTACAACTTAGAGAACAGTGTTTAGTATGACCAAGCATGCAAATTTCTTAATCCATCAATCCCGTAGGATTCTCACAACTTTTCACAAACAGGCTGCACTCCCCCTCCTTATACTCTGCCCCCTCGTCCACTTGCAAGCAGACCGCACGAGTATACCGGAGGGTAGACAGCTTTACAGTTTACACAATCATGCCCATGAGATGTATCATGTACACCTCTCGCACAAAGCCAAACATACATCAGGATAAAGCCACACATGTGAGAGTGATCGTGGTCGTCACAAGACAAGTCACATAGGATCTCAACTCATGATACGCTCAGGGAGTAGAATGCCTCCCTCAAGACTCAAACGCAAACACCCACCTCAAACTCTGTTCATCTGAGCATGGCTCCCGACCCCACTGTACACTCGCGGAACACGCTCGGGACAAAACATCTACCTAAAATCTAATGAGCGCCTAACCCCCTGTCTCACCCAACTAAGGAAAGCTCATCCCCAAGTCTCTCGCAAAATCCAAAAGTCTCCGCGCCGCAAGCCAAAAATGGACCGCATAGTCTCACGTGTCCTACGGCCGACCCCCATGTCCTAAGCCGTAGCCCATGAAAGAAGAGCTCAAGGAAACCACGATCAACTATGTATGTATAAGCAGGCAAGGACTTATCCTACCACCCTTAAAGTATACACACATCCAGGGCCCCCTCAGCCAACTCAGCATATGTACACCTCCAAACCGTTCCCTGTGTGCGAAATACTCTGGCCCTATTAACACATAGACAGACCAACCCCTACTCACACAACTCCTCCTGGTTCTGTCTGTATAACTAAGCCCTGCCCCCATCTGGAGCTCGCTCCACTATCCTGCCCTGCCTGTCATAGAACTTGCCGTTGAACTCCGCAACTCGCCCCTCGGCCTTATCCTCGAGGAGCTCTGGGCAGTCCACGACTCTATGCCTTTCCTTCTTGCACCAAAAGCAGGAGGTATCATGCCACCTGGCAGTCTTCTTATTTCTCCCCTGGGAGCTCGATGCTGAAGGCGTCCCCATAGTCTCGGTGGTCACCTCATGACACGAGGGCACTCCCATATGGCCCTGAGGTCCGGGCTCCATAGCCTCAGCACCCCCACCCTCTCGTACGGCTGTCCTCACTGGCCTGTAGTCTGGCGTGTCCAACTCTCGGGGTTCCTCCTCATGAGGCCTCTCTGTCACCACCACCATCTCATCCCCACATGATCCTGACGGCTGAGAGCCCGCCATGGCGGTGGGCTCACTCATGACCTCCTGCTGTTGCTGCCGCCCTGAGTCAGGTCCTCCTGAGTCCGTCTCTGTGGCCCAGGAGCCCAGTTCCGTCCTCAGCTCTCCCAACCTCGGGGCATACTCTGGAGTGTCGAGTCTCTGAGGCCTCTCCTGTGGAGTACCTATCCCCATGGCTGCCGCCAGCTCATGCAAACGCGAGCCTCTCCTCTCCATGGACATAGCCATAAGCGATTCCTGTGCGCCACCCTCCTCCCCGGCCGTGTCCAAGGGCACCTCCCCCACTGGCCCGGCCTGTCGAGGGGCCTCCACCGCTGCTCCCTGACTTGGCGAAGCCTGCATCCCTCGGCCCTGGCCATCGGCACCGGCTCGTCGCGTCTGGCTAGCCTCCCAGGCTGCCGAGAGCCTGTCCACGATGGCTGCCATCTCCCCAAATCTCCTCTCTCACTCGACCTCCCTGGCCTGGCTCCTTGCTCTCTCTTCAGCGAGCTGGGTAGCCAAGTGCTCCACCTCCAACCTCTTGGCCGTGAGCTCGTCGCTGAGCAGGCTATACTACTGGAAAGACGTAACTGCCACCTCGCGCATCCTTCTATCTCCGAGCTCGATCGCCATCCTAGTCGCAGAGAACCCCAAGTCCCCCATCTCCCTCAACTCACTCGCCTCCACGTCCGCCTGTCCCGTCTCGTGACCTCTGGCGGGCTGCGTCCCTCTGGCTCTCGTACCTCCCCCACAACTCGTCGATCCGCTGCTCACTCGTCTTGGGATCGACCGGCGGCATCGGCTCTATCCCTACCGCCTCCATTTCAGCCTGCCTCGCATGTATTTCGTCCAGACGGACCCGCACCCTGGCGGACTTCTCTTCGCGGGTTTCTCTTGAGGCTCTTCTCACCCGCGGCCCCTGGCCCTCAGGAGTTGACGCCTCGGTTCCCATCCTCTCGCTCGTGCATGGCAATGCCTGCGGTAACTCCGCTGGAGCGGGTTCCTCGATAACTGGGCTCTCGGTCACATGCGTGGCCGATGGCAAGTCAGGGAGTACCTCCACCCTCGCTCTCTCATACGCTCTCTGACCCTCCATCTCTGCCTCTTGCTCAGGCATAGCGGTGGCCTCAGGGGGAAGCTCTGGAATCTCCTCACTATCTGGCTCAGGGACCCCTCCTGGCCAAAGCGGTCGCGCCGGCTCTGGGGCTGGGCTACACGGAGGGGTATCATCTCCAACTGTGATCACCTCCTCAACCTGGGGCCGTACCGGACCCTGCTGCTCGGCTGCCATCTCAGGATCCTGCGGCTCCCTTCGGTTCCGTGCGTCCACATCTACCTCGGGATCCAAAGGCTCCTCCAACGACACATATTGTACTGGCCCAGTTGAGCCCTCTCCCAACCGTGAAGCCTACCATCGAGATACGTCGAGGTGAGTCGCCAGGCTCCGGAACGGCGTCTCTCCTGGTATGTCCAACTCTCGCCTTGGAGGCGATGGCGAAGGTGGCCGCAACTCCTCGCTCGTAATCCGCCGAAACTCAACTGCCCGGAGACCACAAGCAGGGAACAACTCCTCTTCCGGTGCGGACCCTACGGGCTCATCCTCTCGCTGTGCTGGGGCCCTCCTCTTCTCTCTGGTCAGCCCCGCCTCTCTCGGCGCTGGTTCCCTTGGCCTCTTGCTTCGCCTCCGCCTCTCGACCCTGGGCTCGGGCCTCTCACGCTCTAGCCGTCCGAACGCCCTCCTGAGCTGGGCCTGGCAGTCCGCCCAATCTCGAGCTCTCTCCCGAATATGTCTGGCCACCGGCCTCTCTGCCCCCCTAGTCCAGATAAGTAGGGCCTGCACCCACTCCTCCTGCGCAATCCCGTCTCAACATGTCGTGCTCATACGCGGGAATGAACTCCTCCGCGTTCCCTTCCTCTAACCGAATGGGCATGTCGTCACGTCCCCTGGGCGAAGCCCTCAGTCTTTGCATCCCGGCCTCCACATCTGGCCAAGTCAGGGCCTCCTCACATATCTGAGCGACAGGCTCCTCAAACCGCCCTATACCCCTCAAGTGGTGAATCCTTTCCGCCACTGACCACCCTCTCTGTGCCGCATGATCCCGATACACGTCCAGGAAGAGCTCTATATTATCGTCGTCGAACTCGGGCGTAGGCTCCCTCCTAGGCGGCTCATGTTGCTCGCCCCTTCCTGCTGCCCTCTGGGGCCCCTGCCGTGGCCGTGTGTCCCTCCTGCCCCTCTGCATGACTGCCTTCGAAAAGTCAGACCTGCACAACAGGCGAGAGACAGCAAACTGGCACACAGCAGGGTCAGCAACTGAGCCCACTGGCTTAGGAAAATCCCACATACACTCCACACCCATCCACCCCAATCACCCACCTACCTAATCACCTGACATGGGTAATACTTGGGCAAGACTCTATTCCTAACGAGGTCTCATGGTCCCTTACCTATTCCTTGGCCACGAACTTCTTCAGCTTTGTCCCTGATACCCAGTCCTGCCACCCCTCCCCATCCAGCTCTTCAATTTGGTAGGCCCCAAACTCGCCGCACCGCACGATCCTATAGGGTCCCAGACACCGTTTGTCGAGTTTCCTAGACCATTGTTTTTCTAGCGAGGAGTCATATAGCAGTACCGCATCTCCAACTTTCAGCGGATCCTTTCTTACCCGGGCCATCTGGTCCCATCTCATCTTGTCTTCCATGCGACTCCTTTCTACCTGACCAGCGGCTTCTCGCAACCTTTCCTTAGCAGCTCCCACCTGCTGCGCCCGAATATCGAGCAGTTCTTCAAAATACAGGTTCACTTCCAGGTCCTGGCGCCTCCATGTCTTCATGAAACTTTCTATGCGAAAGGTGGCATGCCTTCCATATCATAGCGTGACTGGCGCATACTTGGTAGTCCTTTTCACTGGAACATTTTCCACGAAGAAAGTTGTCCTCAGGAACTTCGGCCACTGGTTAGGCCTCCCCTCAGTCCACTTGGCCAAGAGATTTGTGATGGTACTATGCCCCCTCTCCACAGGTGCGTTCGCCTGGGGGTGCGCGGCAGTAGTATAGTTTGCTACCACGCCATACCCTGCAAGTAAGGTCCGCACCTCGTTACAAGTGAACTTCGACCCCCGGTCCATCACAAACTCTCTGACAAACGGATAGCGCATGTAGTATTCTTCGATGCACCTTGCTAAAACTGGGCCAATTTTTGTGTGAATAGCCGACCATCCACGAACCCGGTAAGGTTGTCCCGTGCGTCGAAGATATAGTTACTTCCATCCTCCCCGAGTGGCATAAACAACAGGTCCAGGTGCACGACTGCACCCACTTCCCTTTCCAACCTAGGGTGCAGAGGCTCCCCAGGCCTTTGCGCTGACCGCTGCTGGCAAGGTACACAGGACTGACAGTATTTTATGACCATAGTCAGCATTCCATCCCAATGGTATAACTCGCTTATCTTTGCGCACGTGGCACTAACCCCTCTGTGCCCCCCTGCTATACCATCGTGTAGGGCTGCTATGACATCGATCTGCCGGTTCCTCCCACATACGATCCTCTTGGGGTTCCCGACCTGTCGCTTTATAAACGGATGGCCATCTCTTACTGCGTAGACATGCCTCATCTTCTGGGCTTTAGCACTTGCGTCCCTATCCCTTATCTCGCATGACAGGAGTAACCCCAACTCCCGATAGATCCCGTCATACTCTTCTGCGCGGAAGGCCTCCCTGATCTCTCCCTCTTCGAACTCATCGTCCTGGCTTTGAGGAACAAGAAGTTCACTTTCCTCAGGACCAAATGAGTCCGTCTGGTTAAAGTTTCCCTGCAGGAGCGTATTAGTGATCAAATGCATCCCTCCCATTAATTGCTCATGCTCTTCTACCTGGGTTGGGCCTTCCTCTATCGTCCTTACTTCTTCTGCCAGACTATGTGCACCTGCCAATGCCAACCTCATCATCCAGCCAACATCCCTACTCCCCCACGGATCTTCTTCCTGGAAGGGCTTGAGGACCAACTCCTCCTTTCGTTCGTACCCCCTTGGCGCTAGCAATATGGGGTGCGTGACGCAGCTAGGCACCCTCAACGACCATTCATTTATGTGGAGGCGGACATCCTCCTCCTGATCCAAGAACCCGTCGACTGGTGGGGTATCCTCAATTGACTCCTGAGTCGCCCCATCCCAGTTGACACTGCTCAGCCCATTTGCCCTGTTCTTGTCCCCCGGAATCCTTTCCAGCTCAAAGTTAAACATCCAAATGTAGGTCAACCATCTCTCGATGGTTGGGTCAGATGGAGTATAACTTTTCAGGGAACACGCAAGTGCAGTAGGGTCCACCCTCAAAATGAGCCTCCTCCCAAAGATGTAGTTCCGGAAGGTCCTCAGGCAATGGAGTACTGCCAGCGTCTCCTTCTTAAACTGAGAGTAATTCCTCTCAGTCGTATTGAGGGTACGACTTTCAAACCTTAGCGGCCTCTCCTTCCCATCCGCATCTGCTTGAATCAGGACCCCTCCTAAGGCAGTTGGCCCAGTGTCGTCTCGACAACGAATGGCTTTTCTTCCGTGACCTCATAATTTGGCGCCCCCAGCACTAAGCCTCCTTCCTTGAACTCTCCCTTCATCCTTTCCACATCCTTTTCCTGGTCTTTGCCCCAGACCCATTCCTGATCCTGCCGCACCAGCTTCCTCAGATGCTCCGTCTTGGTGGCGAAGTCCTTCACAAAACTCCTCCAAAACCCACAGGTCCCAAGGAAGCTCCTCACATCCGTTATCGACTGAAAGGGGACTGACCATTCTAGGATCTTGTCCGTTTTCTTCACATCTGGCCTCCACCCCTTCTCATTACAGACAAAGTCCAGAATCGTGGCCTCCCTCATACAATGCTCTCACTTGGGGCCGCTCGCCGTCAGGTGGTGTTCTTCCAGCAGGCCCAGAACCTTATCGATATCCTGGATGTGCTTCCAGACGAACCGTCTTACTCCGGGCAGCACCTCGTCTTCCTCCTTCTCCTTTGGACCCTTGACCGCCAGATCGTCAATGTAGGGTTAGGTGATGTGCGGACTGACCGTCTGCATGGCCCTAATCATGTGCCTCTGCACCATCGCCACCGCATTAGTCCACCCCTGAGGGGCCACATTCATGTGGATCAGCCCTCTTGGCGTATGCATTGTCGTCACCGGCCTGTGGTCTCAAACTGGGCTCTTGCTTCTTCCCACCTCCTCATGTGGTCTGTCACCCATTCCTGAACACCTGGTACCTTCAACAAAAGAAAAATTGTGAGGAAATTTTCATCAAGTTTTCAACTTGCTCACAAGTTGGAACCAACATTGGAATTACGTGAAATGATGCGGCCAATCGTTTAGCAGGGTCGGGTCCATGTTTCCAACCGTTTACCAACATGCGGCCTACATGTTTTCAATATGTGATCAACGTTGGTCCAACATGTTTCCAACATGTGTGTGTTGGAAAATTTTTGGTCCTAAGTTCTCAGCATTGTAGTTCACTGCTGCGTGGAAACGGCGGCGCTAACGACCTGTTTCCACCTTATTGTGACCCGCAGTAGTGAACCGTGATATTTTCACAGACACATTTATGTTGTGCGCGGGGTTGAGAACATGGATTGGTGAGATATATAACAAAACCGTGGGATTGGTAGAAAAAAAAATAAAAATACATTGGATAACAAACCATCATAGAAGTACGGATAACCATGCTTTCCTCGCATTGTGCGCGGATCTGTTCTCCAAGCTGTCATTGCCGTCGTGGTGTTGCCAGTGCGGCCCGTCACTCGGATTCTTCTTTTGTCCCGTTGTCGGGCAGCTCCAACCCTACGCCGCCCTTTACTTCTCTTGCAAGGGTGCGCATCAAGGTTTCTATTTGTTGGCTTTTACCTGGCTAAAGCTCATCGGCCATGGGAAGAATGCCGCGACAAGTTGATCAGGCAGGTGACGAACTACGATATCCAGTTCGAGCTGAGAACGAGCGATGAACAGCGGTACCTTTGCGGAAAGAGCCCAAGACGAAAGCCACTGGCAAGCACAAAGAGGCTGCCACAGCGGGCAATTACAGAGGGGTCGGACAAAGGGGCGCGACCGCGAAAGGTTGGAATGATACTGAATGTCGGCTGAATGGTCAAGGGAACGGGGCGCTGGGCACTTATAGTGAGCCCACTGACATCTTAAACGACAACGATGACTAAAACTGCCTCGAGCAGCCGAATTCCAAAGAATACCCTGCGACGACAAGCGGCGGGGCCAGGCCACGCGGGGGCCTCGACACTAAGAGATACAGGCTATGGGCAAAGGGCCCGTGGGGCTGGTTGATTCCTTCTTTCGAAGGCGGCGGTCACGGTAGGACACGGGAACCTGTTAGGCCAAATAAGCGATGGGCCCAGTATTTATTTTAGACGGCCTGACCTCTTAAGGGGCGGGACCATTACAGCATGGGGATCGCCGAGGCTTGGGGCAGGCTCGGGGTAGCCACGGTACCGGGCCGCTACAAAGGGCCCAGTTCCCGATGGGAACGCCTTTTTCACTGGGACCCCCTCGGAGGCCAATCAGGCCCGGGCGCAGCCACGGTACCGAGGCGCTGCAAGCCTTTGCAGCCTCGGTGCACCTGAGGCGAGCGGCACACTTGGGGGAAAGGCCCGACAAACTATATGAGCCGAACTGGGCCCGGGAGCTGGGCATTCTGGGCATGCACGCATAGGCGCACGGGAGGCGGACTCGGACTTCTCCCATGTGAGATCAGGCGCACGGGACCTGGGGCGCAGGACAGAGAGGAGCAAGGCGGGGGAACGAGCGGACGGGACGCACGAGCTCGGGGACACACGAAGGAGGTAGGGGGCAGACACGAGCACATCCGTGGAGTTGCGCGGAGTCCACTCGCTTGCAGGAGCACACCCGCGCAATTGCGTGGGGTTTACCCACGCACAGTCGTACATCTGCGGGGTTGTGCAGGGTTCACCGACGATTAAGCGCACATCCGCGCAGTTGCGCGGGGCACGTCCGCGCAGTTGCGCGGAACTCACTCGCACACCTTCCCGCGCATTCGCGCGCACTCGTACACTACGCGCACACTCACGCGCACATTCGCGCGCTTTCGCACACTTCTTGTGCACCCACACGCGCATTCGCGCACACTCGTACACTACGCGCATACTAACGCGCGCATTCACACACTTTCGCGCACTGCATGTGCACCCACACGCGCATCCGCGCGCACTCGTGCTCTACGCACGCCCCCTCGTAAGTATTCGCGCACACTCCCGCGCCAAGAGCGCACATCCGCACATCATCGTGCGAACTAGGAGCCACCCGCGGGAAGACCCGCGCACTACCGCGGGTACGGGGAGACTGTTGCGAGGAGGTTCGCACACTATAGCGCGCACGGGGAGCTGCTGCTTGGAATCTTGCACATACCTGCGCGCCCCATGCACCGGGAGAGGGTCGAGGGGAACCAGCTGCGCGCCTGCTCGTTTCCGCGAACGGGCTAACGAGGGAGGGCCGTGAGCATTTGTGCGCACTAGTGCCCGCACTGGAACGTAAGGGGGGGAAGACTACGGATTTCGCTGAGATACGCCGACGGACGAGATACAGCACAACGCAGCATCTTTGATCACACACCCACCGAAGAGGGACACTTTCACCGGAGGGGCACACTACCTAAAGGGGCACTCTACCGACAGGCACTATACCCAAGGCGGCGCTCTATCAAGGAATACTTTGCCGAAGGGGGGCGCTATACTAAAGGGGACATTTTTCCGTGTGGACATCTATCGGGAGCACATTTATCGAGCGGACACTTTTACCAAGCGGACACATTCACCGAGCGGATACATTTACCGAGCGGATACATTTACCGAGCGGACACATTTACCGAGCGGACACATTTACCGAGTGGACACTTTTACCGAGCGGACACATTCACCGAGCGGATACATTTACCGAGCAGATGCATTTACCGAGCGGACACATTTACCGAGCGGACACGTTTACCGAGCGGACACATTTACCGAGCGCATTCTTTTACCGGGCGGACTCGTTTGCCGAGCGGGCACATTTACCGAGCGGACACATTTACAGAGCGGATACATATACCGAGCGGACACATTCACCGAGCGGATACATTTACCGGGCGGACACCTTTACTGAGCGGATACGTTTACCAAGAGGGCACATTTCACCGAGCGAGTACTTTACCGTGCGAAGACTTTATCGAGCGGGCCTATCCGAGCCTAGTTGGTACCGAAGAGGCACGAGTCCGAACTGGGCTTTCGAAGGGGGACTTTGATTTTTGAGCCCTTTGACATTTCTATGGCGGCCTAGTGGCTCAGGCGGGCCTATCCGAGCTTTGTTGGCTTCGAAGAGGTACGAGCCCAAACTGGGCTTTCGAAGCGGGACTTTGACTTTTGAGCCCTYTGACATTTCTATGGGGGCCTAGTGGCTCAGGCGGGCCTATCCGAGCTTTGTTGGCTTCGAAGAGGTACGAGCCCGAACCGGGCTTTCGAAGGGGTACTTCGACTTTTGAGCCCTTTGACATTTCTATGGCGGCCTAGTGACTCAGGCGAACCTATCCGAGTATTGTTGGGACTGAAGAGGGACGAGTCCGAACCGGGCCTTTGAAGGGGTACTTCGTGATCCGGGAATTCCGAGGGGTTTACGGCGGTCGGGAGGCGCTGGCCGGTCATCTTGAGGCTCGAGGACACCGGAAGGGCACAATTCCGAACTGGGCCTTTGAAAAGGTACTTCCACCAACGGGCCTCGGGAGCGTTGTCTTATCGGATCGGGTTCCCAGCGAGGCATGGTCTCGACCGAGCTTGAGCTATGGCCTCGATGGGCGAGAGAGGAGACGTCTGACAGAGAGAGTTCGAGCACCATCCCGTGGGACAGGCGTGCGAGGTATCGGCGAACCCTTGCGAGGGGGAGAGTTAGGCAGAGGTTATCCACGTGTTCTGTAGGCACTCAAACAGACCCCACGCACATAGACAGGGGGACTTCACCTGAGATCGGGAATAGTGCAGAGCACCCCATTGTACTTGACTGAATGGAGACTTTGATATTGTTCTTTTTCCTGCCTACTCTTTGAGACTTGTATCACATGGCTTCGTGTCAGTCTGAGCGGCCCTTTGTCTTGGATGTGTACTGACGTGGCACGTGCAAGTTACAGGAGCCCCAACCAACCTTCCCGTGGGTGACAGACGCGGCGTGAGACATAGGGTTTGTGTTGGAGGCTGGCAGAGCCCTTCTCCCGGTCGACAGTGGCGCCGTTGCCGGGGAAGGCTGCCTCTCGGGACTTCGGTCCGCCTGTA